TTTTAAACATCACATTATAGTTTGCATCACATTTTATATTTGAGCTCACTATTACGTTCCGTATCTGTCTTTCTTTCAAGTTGACCCTAAAATGTGTTATATCTTTAAAGAAAGTAATGTAAAAAGCTATTTAATAAGTTCAAGTTATTCATTTCCAGTTATTTACCTATTATTATACCTATTATCTATTACCTTTCCTAGATAATTTTTATGACCAGAGAGTGAACTGACTTGGTGGAGGTTTGCACCCCAGAACGCTTAGTTTTCCATCTTTCACACCGTTTAGAAAATCTTCTGTTTTGATAGTATGTTTACACATAATTTAAAGGGAAAGATTATTTCAGCCCACACCAGACATGGTTTTCATAGACCCAAACCAAAAACACATATACAAGAGGAATAATCAAGAAAGGGAGATAAAAGTGAAAGCCCAACACTGCAAATGCATTGGAAAATATGGATAATAAATGGAACGTAGGTCTTAAACATGTATATTTATCCCCTCACCTTTTTCAGCTCAGAATTTTCATTCTCATTCTCTACGTATAACACACAAATTATAACACATCAGTACTTCTTCAATATTTTTTTATAGTTTTCCCTCTGTATTCACTTCAGTTCAATTCAATTTAATGGATAGCGTGTTAAATATAGGGGAGGAAGACCAGACAAAAGACACACAGTGGAAGAGAGCCAGAGATGAACAATAACAGCGAGTGAAAAGAAGTGAGTGAGGAAGAAACGCTCGGTGCATTACAGGAAGCCCCCAGCAGCCTAGACCTATTGCGGCATACTAAAGGGAGGATTCATGTCCACCTGATCCAGCCCTTTTTCTTTTATCAAAAAGGAAAGTTTTAAGCCTAATCTTAAAAGTAGAGAAATTGTCTTTGAAACCATGCAACCTGAAGGCAATGCGCCCTGCTTTAGTGGTCTTCTATGGCCTTTCAGGTCTCTTTGGTGTTGCTGAGTTGACCAGAACTTCATCAGAATTCACCAGAATGTTGATTTTGCAAAACAAGCTTTTGCTGTGTCTTCACCTGCATCAACCTCTTGAAAAGCTACCAAATGGCAAACACTTGGAAACAAGTGTTTATATTTAATCTGACAAATTTGCCACGACGTAATAAGGGAACAGGTCCAACTTGGCCATAAAACTGCTTTTAGATAATTGTCCACTTGCCTTTGAGCTCTGGAAACAGGAGACTGTGTATGAAGAAAACGACTGGATACTATTAGAAGAAATAAATTAAATCCAATACATTTTGCTGGATTCGCTGTCTTTAGGGTTCTATAACTCTTATCCAAGATGAGTCCATTGAAAAATGTATACAAGACATACTGTATGACTGTAAAATTGCTGTGGGATTACCTTATGTTCTATTGAACACTCATCAATACCATGTTCCTTGAAGTGTTTCTATAATTTAAAATTAATTGTTGAATCATATATCATCTACATTATTAATGTGATTATTCCAGAATACAGGGAGTGCAGAATTATTAGGAAAGTTGTATTTTTGAGGAATAATTTTATTATTGAACAACAACCATGTTCTCAATGAACCCAAAAAACTCATTAATATCAAAGCTGAATGTTTTTGGAAGTAGTTTTTAGTTTGTTTTTAGTTTTAGCTATTTTAGGGGGATATCTGTGTGTGCAGGTGACTATTACTGTGCATAATTATTAGGCAACTTAACAAAAAACAAATATATACCCATTTCAATTATTTATTTTTACCAGTGAAACCAATATAACATCTCCACATTCACAAATATACATTTCTGACATTCAAAAACAAAACAAAAACAAATCAGCGACCAATATAGCCACCTTTCTTTGCAAGGACACTCAAAAGCCTGCCATCCATGGATTCTGTCAGTGTTTTGATCTGTTCACCATCAACATTGCGTGCAGCAGCAACCACAGCCTCCCAGACACTGTTCAGAGAGGTGTACTGTTTTCCCTCCTTGTAAATCTCACATTTGATGATGGACCACAGGTTCTCAATGGGGTTCAGATCAGGTGAACAAGGAGGCCATGTCATTAGTTTTTCTTCTTTTATACCCTTTCTTGCCAGCCACGCTGTGGAGTACTTGGACGCGTGTGATGGAGCATTGTCCTGCATGAAAATCATGTTTTTCTTGAAGGATGCAGACTTCTTCCTGTACCACTGCTTGAAGAAGGTGTCTTCCAGAAACTGGCAGTAGGACTGGGAGTTGAGCTTGACTCCATCCTCAACCCGAAAAGGCCCCACAAGCTCATCTTTGATGATACCAGCCCAAACCAGTACTCCACCTCCACCTTGCTGGCGTCTGAGTCGGACTGGAGCTCTCTGCCCTTTACCAATCCAGCCACGGGCCCATCCATCTGGCCCATCAAGACTCACTCTTGATTAGGCAAAGGACGTTGCCTAATAATTATGCACACCTGATATAAGAGTGTTGATGTCATTAGACCACACCCCTTCTCATTACAGAGATGCACATCACCTAATATGCTTAATTGGTAGTAGGCTTTCGAGCCTATACAGCTTGGAGTAAGACAACATGCATGAAGAGGATGATGTGGACAAAATACTCATTTGCCTAATAATTCTGCACTCCCTGTAAGCCGTACCCTGCCTGTCAGTTTTATGGTTACTCATTAAGACTTGATTCATTAGGGCTTTATGCATACGATGAATTCAAGCCATTTAATCCTTGTTAATTTCAGTATTTCATGTTCCTTTAATGATGTTACCTGCTGTGTTAAAGAAAAGCCAATTCACATTTGAGCTGAATAAATCTTTTTATACCCCGGATACATGATAGCCATGCATAGGTTAGCCACCGGATGGATAATGTTCGGGACTAAAGGCAAGTCTGTTTCTTTAAGTTTGTTTCCACATGAGGCGAGAATTTATTCATTTCAGACAGCGCATCGTCACATTTAGAGTTCTCCTCTAAACCAGAAGAACCTATACAAGACTCTGTTAGTCTTAACTTTAATTATGCTTCTGGATTCCAGAAAGATCTCGCAGGACGACAATGAGGTAAAGTACATTTTCTTGTGACTTTATTTGCTGACTTTCATCACAGAAATAAAAACCAGAGGTAATTTATTGACTGTACCAAGAGAACTTACACCCTAGTGTGATATGCATTTACTTTAATTTTCATTTCAGCAGAACTATTCCTTGGGCGAGTTTTAACTTCCTTCTAAAATAATTTAATCTGATATTACTTTACAAATTATGTTGATATGAAACAAACAAAGTGGTTTAAGGTTCAAAGGTTTTTTGAAATTATCAAAAAAATGCAAACAGCTTCTTTTTTTTTTTTTACCTCAGATGAAAGTAAGTTATTAGATCTGGTTCTGGATATCCTAGATGCCCTGCACTCCTTCCATAAGCAGCTTTAATTAATTCTTTAATTGATAATATTATTATCAGTGTATTGTCAGGCAATGCTTTTATTATCCTAACAATAATCATAATAATATTGTAGAAATAAAAGAGAAAATAACAGTTTTTACTATTCACATGTTCACAGGCTTTTCTGGGGAGTCCTTATCACCTGCACATCATCTCCACTCCACTTGCTATCCTGGACTACATGAGGCACCAGTTAAGGTTCAAAGGACGAACAAAGAAAGGATATATTTGGAGGTTCACTGTCTAGTGAAAGTAAAATGCAATAGTGTGAGATCTAATAAACTACTTCTTAAATGTCATCGTTTTCTGTAAGTTTTTTTTCTACATCTGTTCTATAACATCTCTGATCTGTTGTTAAAACTTTGGACTTTTTCAGATCTTAAATTCAATAAACCCAAACCAGCTGTAGATAATCAGCCGCATAAAACTGAAACTCGTCAGGCATTTCAGGCAATTTTATTTGAGGCAGTGTTTAGTCGAACCAGAATCATCTTTCCCAGTTGGAGCATAGACTTACAGCCATCATTTGTTGGATAATGACACACCTGTTTTATAGCCAGGTGAGGCCTGTTCCTTGTTATTTCATGACAAACAAAACATATATAATATTTTAAATTGCTTCAAAGTGTTGAACTTGTATTTTAGCATTTTTTTTAGCATTATTTCCATAGTTTGAACAAAGACATCACAATATGTAACCAAGAAACAAAACAAAAAACATCTAAAGGAGATGAAATTCTAGTGAAATAATACAAATAAAATAATAGTAAAAAATCCTTTTGTTAGATTAAACGAGGATGATAGAAGGACAGAATTATGAGAAAGGAAGAAAGAAAGAGCTAATGAGCCACGGCTAACCACAACAAACATGATGGAGGCAGTGTTATGGCATGAGGTGCCAGAGGGACTATATAAATTGTGTGTGCTGATGATGGGACTGCTGATAGAAGGAGCAGGATGGACTGTGAAGTGTTCAGAGCTGTACCCTCTGCCCAGATTTAGCGAAATGCTGCAAAACTGATCAGACGATGCTACACAGTGCAAATGGATAACAACACAAAGCAAACCACAAAAACAACAGTTTGCTAAAATGGGATATTCGTCTAAGGCCACATCAGTCACCCGACCTAAAGCCAATACAGCATGCTTATGCTTAACATTATGTTGCGTTGTCCAATTACGTTTGAGCCTCTGAAAACAGGGGACTGTGGGTGTTAATGAAGTAGTTTTGCAAAACCTGCAAAAAGTCTGCACTTGAATCACATCTTAACTGTTTAATCTGAAATGCATCGGGGTGGTTTTCAGTGTAATTATGCAAAAAACCCACGGAAGTAACGTCAGTTAAGGTTCTACTCCTCTCCATGCTCCAGTCAAAGAGCGCCTTTAAGAAATCAGCAGATGCATCTTCAGATGTAATTTGCACCAAGAAATGTCAGCTCTGCTGCTCTCTTGACTAAAGTAGCATCAGCTGACCATGAGCACAGACTCTGCAGGAGGACAAAAATGAGTAACTTTGGGAAAACATGGAGGAAAGGAAGCTGATTAATATTTATTATATAGGAAAAATATGTTTAATAATGCTGTTTTTTTCACTTAAATTCAACTTGGATCATTAGTAAAACATTATTTTTAATGATTAACTTTAAAAAACAAACAAACAGTGAGGTGGGGGTATATTTCCCCCCTTCTGGAGGACTAGAAGGAGACTGAGAACCAGAAGAGTAACTAACGAAAACGTCAGATGAGAACAGCTCAGCTGATAAAAGCATGGTTTAAATATTATTATAATACATTACTGACCTTACTATATTGCAAATATTTATAAAAGATAGCAGGTGTTCTAATAACAAAGTAACAAAGTCAAAACTTTTCAAGTGGCTTTATTAATAAAATGATCACGTCAATAACCATTTGTAAGGAAGATCTACTTAAGTGTTCTCATTTAAATGAACAGTAACACAGTCCTACTTTAATATCACCAACCCTTCCACAAACAAGATCTTTATTGCAGCTTTTCACGGATAGTGTTTCAACATCTGAAAGATTCCCAATCCTGCTTTACACATGGAAATTACACTTGACACAATACATTTATTATTTAAGTCTGATAACCTAGGCACAGTCTAAAAAACAAAGAACAAAGAACGAAAAAACGAGTGGGCATTATAATGTTTGTGTGTTTCGGTGAACAGTCTCTAAAACTGAGACATAAAGAGCAAAAAAAAAAAAAAAGTACAGTACAAAAGATAGTTTAAGTATTTTGTAAAAAGGAGGAGTTTCTATATTTTACAATACAGACTATTGCAAACAAGTCCCAAAGAGATCTTAGAAGTGTCGAGTCTTTTAGTCAGTAATGAAGGAATGTATTGATATGACAGCCCTATTCATTCAGAAACAGATTTAAAAGGTTTCCAGCTGTACGTCTCTTTGAAAAACATCAAGGGCAAAGACCTCACCAAGGTCATCTCAGAAAGTGGAGAATCAAACCACAGCTGCTCGGCTTTCAGGTGCAAATCAAGCATGACTATGCGAGCTTACGTTATCGTTACAGGAGCCAAACATGTGGAAAGCATTTTATTTTTGATTATTTAAAAAAAGAAAAGAAAAACACACCGACAGATGTTCACACTGATGAATAAGATGCAAGCTTTCCAAACAGCAGTCTTAAAGACAGCTCGATAAGAGCAGTGTGGGTGGAGAGTCAATCAATCAATTTTGTTCAATTTCCAAACATTTAACACAGACATGTAGATGAAGGCCAGTAGAAGGCAATGCTCTGCTTTTCCTAAAACCACCACCTGTGTCCCAGTTTCTCACATTATTGTTCTACAATTTTTTCTTTTCTATTTTGTTGTATAAAAAATAAAAACAAAAAAAAAAATGAAAGAAGAAAAAACTTAATTACATACATTTAAACAGATTCGAGGAAAAACGCTAAAACACTTTACAAGACCACAACCCCATTACCTTATTCTTATCGCCACCGACAATTTATTGGAGTGTAAACCTGAGTTTGATCAACAAACTGTATAAAGCTAAAAAATAGTTTCCTTAAACTGTCCACAACCGCAGAGTATTAACAATGTAAAAGCAGCAGTAACGTTACATATCTCCTATATTTTACTGTGACTTAATTCAATATTAACTTCTCATATTTCAGAAAACTTGGATGCAAAGTTAAAATGTGTGAAAACAGAACTAGGGGTATTACAATATAAAAAGAAGACAAATATCACCCCATTATCCTTGTTAGAAAAAAAATAAAAGATAAGAATTATTAATTTTAAGACAACATAAATCCTTCATACTCTACTAATCCTAAACAGAACCTTGCACAAGGTAAGATCCCATCCCATTTTTGCACAACTTTGGCCACGAAGACGTCATCTACGGACATTTCACTCTTGCCTAAAAATGGATCGGTAAGTGATCTGGACATTTTGTACTGCACTAGGGATCCAGTTACAGCGGACATCATGCTTGAAAGCTAATGGATTACAGTAAATGTGTGGATTTCAGTGGTTTATGCTCAACATTGCACTTGGTAAAACTGACCAACCGCAGGTTCTGCGTTTGTTATGACACTTGAAAGAACTACACTGGTTATTGGGTGACAGATTTTTAACAATCAGCACTAAATCAGTGAACTAACTGTCAAGCTAGCCACAAATCTGAAAACAATTTAATTTTTTTTTCCAATAACAATACTTATGAGGATAGAAACTTTTTTTGTCCTTCTGGTCAAACTAAATAATCTCATTGTAGCTCATTTCTGGCCATCAGATCTCCTCTCAGTCCCTACCAATGAGCTGAGCTGTGTCATCGTCAGAGTGGTGCCTGCCCTCTCCTGTGTCATCACTTTCTGAGTCTGTGTCCTCCGCCGGTGAGTAGTAACCTTCATAACCTAGGATGGGTGAGTTGCAGTGTGCAGGGGAGGTGAGGCACTGGGCGGTAGTTGTGGTGGTGGTGGCTGAGTAGGCCCCTGGGCTTCCTGTGGGTGACCCCGGGTTGGAGGGTCGAAGCAGAGGAGTGCGCTCCGAGTCTGCGTCACCCTCTGGTCCTTCTTCCTCTCCACGTCCTCCAGTTTCTGTCTCAGACTCAGACTCGGACTGCTCAGGGTTGTTGCGGGTAACGCGCTGTTTGCACACTGGACACGTCTTCTTGGTCTGTGTGAGCCACGGGTCTACACATTTGCAGTGATAGGCTGAAAATCAAAAACATTTTGAGGAACTTATGAAAAACCTACCAGAGGATGACGACTAAAATACTAAACAAGAGTTTTTAAAGGATAAAACATTCATATTTTAGAAAAAAGGATGGGATTAGATGATTGAGCACTTAAAAAAAAGTTCAGTGCCTCATCAACACAGAATATCAGATATTTACCATGTGAACAAGGCAAAACACGCAACTTGTCCCCTTCTTCATACTCATCCAGACATATTGCACACACATCATAGTCATCCCCTGAAAGAGACTGAACGTTACCAGCTCACATCATTAGACATAAACAGGCATGTAACTCAACGCGCGTAAAAGTCTTCCCAAATGATTAAAAAAAATAAAACGCAGCCTTCAAATTTACAGTCACTTCTTAAAAAAATTATTTATTATAATAACAGCAAAAATGGTTACCTTTACTGAACTTGTGTATTGGAATGCGTTTCAGCTGTTCCTTGGACAAACGATTTTTCCTCAGCCTTTTTCTGTATTGTACACATCGTATAATCTGAAATATGGAAAAAAAAAAAGCTCAGTTTTATCGATGGAAAAAAGATTTACAGTGGCGTCTCAACACTTCCCTTAACCCTCATGGCCTGCCTCCCTAAGAAATAACAAATAAATAAATGGGGGAGAACTGTTTAATGCTCATGTACTCATTATTACAAAAAGGGTCATTTCTCTCCTCTGATGTGTTTGTGGCAGGCTCTATTCATGTGTGCTCTTCTTCATCTGCCCCTCACTTTGCCACACATTAAGCTAAGCTGAGCAGAGAGACGAGACCGATAAAGTGAAGGTGACATTACGCAAGTGGAAAATAACCAGATTCATTTCTGTAAGTTTAATAAAAGCTGCCTAATAGACATCACTGGGTTTGTTTTTTGCGTTCATGTTTGACAACTATCATTAGATACTAAGAAGCTGGATTAGAATAAACACACAGAGATATGTTGAGCTACAGTTAGGTCACTCTTTTATAACACAAAAAGCCTCTACTACCTCTGGTCCACTTTCATCATGTGTTACTGTATAAACAACCCAGAAAAGATCAATTCATGCATATACTTACGAAAACAACAGACATCACAAGAATGATCAGGCACACTACTCCGGTGAAGGGAATAAGGTAGTAGGAAAGCGGAAAAGGAAAGTCTGGCTTGAGAATCACATACGCCCTGCAAGTCAAGAAAAGAAAAAAGTAAAAATATGTTTGTTTCTGCAAACCTAATACATATAAACAGATCTGCCTACAGGTTATACATATGTAAATTCTGTAGGCAAAGTTTCTGTACTGGAAACCTTCTGGTTTCCCTTTGCAATCTAAGGTCTGTGGACCAACAGTGTTTGAGGTTGCAGAGCAAAAGAGCGAAAACTTTGCAGAAATTCAATCTCAAAAGCATTTGACAATCACAGATGCAATTTGATTAGCAGAATTCTCTTTCTTATTTACCTGCATTAGTCACGTGACATGATAACAGACAAAGATATAAGCTCGCTACAGTGGAAAGTCTGAAAACTGGCCTTTGCCTGAGAAGCTAAATCAGCAGCCAAGCCAAATGGTTTCCAGATTGGTACAAATCTAATGCTGACAATTAAAAGTTGGTTTAATCTACAGTTTATGTTTAATATTACTGGTATTGTTCTTCCTTACCCCTGTTCCGGAATTATGTAATTCCTAAGAAAGTGCGAGGCATAGTAGCTGGTGAATACAGAGGGAATATTAATCTGCTCTGCAATAGTTTCTGAAAAAAAAAAAAAAATACAAAACAACAAGAATCAGACACACACAGTAGGACAGTACAAGAGCAAATATTTATTTTTGTAATATTTGTTTTCCAATGTTTATACGGTAATAGCACAAATAATTACCATTGCTGTAGTTCATATTGAGCAGAATTTCTGAATAAATGTTGTGAACGATTGCGGCATCGTATCCAGCTTGCTGTGCATTTAAAACCTGAAAAAAGTTCCTTACATTAGAGCAGTGTGCTTCTCAGACAACAAATATTCAGTGTTAAACTCTGCTTACCTTTATATCAAAGTTGCAGTCATAACGTTTGATGAGAACAACAAATTTGGTAGTTGTGGCATTAAAAGATGGGGGCAGTGGTGGGGGAGGGTCTATTGTTGTGCAAGCATTAGCTGGATGAGAGGCAACCAAAACTCCCTAAGATACAAAGAAAAAAAAATGCATCATTATAAAAGAAATTTTTTACCATCTGTACTCCTCCTTCAACACTCAGTTCTCACCATTATTCCATCCTTTGGAAGTGCAGATCCAAACAAAGCAATGCGGTCCTCAAATATATTGGTAATATTGCTATAATGCTGTAAATACAATATACAAACACTATGAGAACAGGCAAAAGTTTCATAAGAGTCTGAGGCTCATCTTTCCAAACAAAGGTTACCAAATTATATGATTTAAAACTCCAATTCTACTTACAGCATATATATAGGCATCTGTAGGCAAGGGGAGCAGTATGCTGCAGAAAACCAGTATAAGCACATTCAGTCGAGTTCTCATGCACCGACAGCCAAGCTGCACCATCCTTGGTTACTTACAGTTGAACTAATCTATAAAAAAGAAGAAGTCATGTTGAACTAGAGATTTATGCTTCAGCAGGAAATCTACACCATAGCTACATTGTAACTAGAATCCCTTCTGAAACCCAACAAAGTAAACTACCCCATCATCTGACGGGCACCTCCCTACAAATATAGCTGCATGTTGGGTGTGCACAGCCTGCAGCTATTGTGATTGGCCTGTTCAGTACTGATGATTCCTCCTGTGCATTTCTGGCTACCTTTTCAACAGTTTTTATTTTAATTTATCAGTCAGAGAATAACAATCATGATCTACATATGAGGACAAGTAGCTACAGCATTAATATAAGGACTGTGGCTCCCAACATCCTCTAGCAGATCATTACATGAAGGAACCTTTTAAATACAAGCGCGCTCATGCTCACAGGTGTACACACGGGTGCTCACACACACACAAACTACACCCTTTTTGGCTCCTACCTCAAAGCACACTGTGCGCTGTCGATCTTACGTGCTGCACAATAATGTTTAGCATTTACTGTGATATTCCCATAGATCATCGTGATGTTGTTTATTATGTTGCTCTTTTTTTTCCCTTCTGCTTGTTTTCTCCTTTTTCTTTCTCAACAGGTGATCGATATATGTATTTTTTGTCTGCTTATTTTGTTTATTTTTTGCCCTTTGCCCTTTATCCCCGTCCCTCTTCCCCGTTGTTTTTCTTTCCCTCATTCTTTCTCCCCTTTCTTTTCCCCAGTCAAGTCTGTCCCGTATTTAGCAAGTGAAAATAAAATAAACAATAAAAGGTGAATCAAATAGACCAATACGGTAAGGCTGGGATGGTCCATTTGGTAAAGTAAATCCGTTGGGCATCTTTCTTCACCTTTAGACAATAATTCTCTCAAATGTCAGCAAATTCCACAAGGGAGATTGCTGACATTGTTGGGATGGGCGTGATAGAATGAGCAAAGTGGAAAAACTAGAGGAGCAAATATTTTTGCCCTGGAAAAAAAAAAACAAAAAGAAAAAAAAACTGACCAGAACAAAGAATGGAGAAAGAGGAGGGGAAAAAAGTGCCAGAATTTTTTTTGTTTCTACTGGATGGCACCGCACATAAAATAATAATTAACACATGACACACCACACACAAGCATAAAAGCTGGCAGCCATTCATGTAGGTTACGTCGCAGGCTCTGCAAAGATTCACCACAGAAGTCTATGTGATGCCTTATTATGCAAATTCAAATAGTTCAATCTAAGTAAATCTGTAACCTGATTCATCAACAAAGAATGAAGTAACCCACCATCACGCATTTACACGAACTAGATTGTTATGGAGTAGCAAGACAAGTACTTTTGGAGGTTATTGCCATGTTGTTGTCCTCATTTGACTTCTTTTAACCCAAGCTAATTGGCATTTTCACAAGCAAAGGAGCATGTTTACATAAAACACTTAAGTTCACTGACTGTTTGCAGTTTCCAGAGATTTGCTTTGTTGACACTCCACTTTTTATCACTTTAACACAGATAAGTAATCTAACCAGTTGTTTGGAAGCTTTGTGATTTACCACTCGCATGCAAATCAGAAGAACCACGGATCTGAAGTAGACTACATCTACATATTCTCCACATATCCCCCACAAATAAACACCCTTTTACATGGAAAAGTATGAATACGCACAGTATACATTCAAGGCTGGTACAGATGAAAACAAGCCAGTTGACTCAAAGTGTACTCAACAATGCGGAATCTGAATGTACGTACATGTATACGCATACCTTCAAGAAAAAGAGATTTTAAACGACAACAAGCTCGTTAGGATGAGGTAAAACAAGTGAGATTCTTTTTAGCAAGATAGTAACAGTCCCCAAAGGCCACATATGGTTTGTGTCACTAGTTAGCCATTTAACCCATATAGAATAGAATAGAATAAAATGATCCTTTAATTGTCCCACAAGGGAAAATTTGGGTGTAACAGCAGCAAGAAAGACACATATACAAACAAACAGTACACAAGACACAGAAACATACACAATTTTTACATATTTACATCAATTATACTGTCTCCTGTCTTTCTAACAAAACAGGAATGTAGCAACTTTTTGTCGCTTTTGTTGTTTACAGGAAGTTAGCCTGGTATCTTTGCATAGGCTCTGTCGCAACAATAAAACTCATGACTTAACTATGCAGTTAGGTCAAAGGTCAAAGTAGACTGACTAGCTGAAATGCGATTAGCATATAGTTAAGGTCAGTTTCTCCTTAACTCTGACCAAAGCACAAGTAACATTATCTCATGTGTTTATAGTGTGGGAAGGACATACCTCAGTATTCCGCTAATAAGTGCAGTGGGAGGTTTGTGACCTCACCTGAGATTCTCACATATAACCGTGTTTTTTTTAATATATAACACTTATTTTGCTTTTATACTCCCCAATTATCTCTAAAGAGTTAATATTTCCACGACAAAACGACAAACACAGCGAGGATTAACTAAACGTTAGTTGCCGTCTGGCTAGTATTAGCTGACGTTAGATAACAGCTACGATGTCTTCGTAACAGATACTCATATATCTATTGCGCAGCCCATTCACAACGTTTTATAGAGAACTAACAAAACAAAAACCGATGATACGTCGAATAAAGACAACATACACTTCCACCAAGTTCGTGTTACCTTACAGACGCTAGGTTTGTTTGTTATTGCTTCTTCTTCGGTGTCTTACTCGCTCGTAGTCTAGGTTCTGTTGGTGGTTGGCAGACCACCGTTCAGCTGCTGTACCGCCACCTATCGGACTGGAGTGTGAAACAGTAGACGGGAGTTTTGCAAGCTCTATTGAGTGTTTAAAACCTTTGGTTACAGTAAAATGAAAACAAAAATCAATTTCAAGTACAAATATAAGATTTCAACATAGAATGAGTGCATGAAACTAAATTCCTGAGTGTGATAATAAATGAAAAAAGTTGCTGGAAGTCAGAATCAGCTTTATTGGCCAAATATAGTAATCGGGCTAAGTTTTTATCTTTGCTCTCAGTGTAAATAGCATAGAAAAACAGACATTACAGACAATAGCAAAATGTATAGCATATTCATATGTGCGATGTGCAAAGTGTAAAGGTATTGGAATAAATTATTAAATAAATAATGGATTGCTAACTAGCTGGTTAAGATATCAATAGTATACACGGATCTCACAGTAATGATATTCAAAACAAACTGTGTTAAAGCATTTCAGTCTTGCCTAAAGTGAGGCATGTGAGACATCAAAAAACACTTTACATCCTTTACAATTCTTTGGTTTTACCTTGTTAAGTTACTGTGTGGAGAAAATACTCATCAAAGGTCATTACAATCACTGTATGTATTGAAAAAACAACAACAAAAACAAAACAAAAATCCATGCGAATTGTTAGTAATGTAAAGTTTTATAAACAAATTGATTGAATTTTTTAACAGTAAAATTCTTTAATTCAAAACAGCATGAATGTAAGGAATAAATTGTTGCCAGAAACCATTCAGAAATTGTTCTGTGATAGAGATGAATGGCTACAACTTAAGGGGTACAACAAATTCTAAGATACAAAGAATTTGGACTACTAAAAGAACTTTTTCTATATCCACATGTGGCATAAAATCATGGAACAGTTTAATGAGGGAACAGTTTAACAGTGGAATTAATGGTCAAGTATTACTCAGTTTACAAACAAATATAAATAGATTATTTTAGAGGGAGGAATGTAGAGGGCTGATAAGCACAGTGATTATTCAATGTACAAAATGCATTTTTTTTGTCTTTGTTGGTGAAGTATATAATGTTTTATGTGTGTATTGTGTGTAGACTATGTACAGTTATGTTGTACGAGGAAATAAGGTTTTAATTTATCCTGCTTAAGGAAGTCTGCTGCATGTGGATAGTACTTCAGTGCTGCCCTCAAGTGGTAGGATCTCTGTAGTATCACATGCAGTGTTTTTGCTGTTGTCAGTCTGATGCCAGGACCTTATCTTCAAGGGAAATCAGCTGTAGTACAAATAATAACTCCAAGCAAAATAAATAAATAAAGCTTGCATATATACTAGGAATATGGACCCACTCTCTTTTGTGTAAAAATGCAGCTTTTCACCAGTAGTGTCAGGCTAGTCATAGGAGTATCAGAGCACAGCGGTTATAAAAGAATGACAAAGAATCTACATTTGGATGAGCTTTTGGACAAAAATCAGCAGCTGTATTAAACGTGTCCATACACTGTTAAATGTTAAATTTCTTTCCCTATTTTTACCCTGTTGCTTTCTACGATAATGATGCTGATAGCAGTGATTTTCTTGCTTAAAAACATAGAATCCGTGCATGCTAATATCTTGCTTTTTGACACTAAGGAAACAAATGACACTGGGGATATGAAATTTTGCATCATGATGGCCCCAAGACTTAAATAAAGCTAAATAAAATAAAAAATAAAAATAAATAAAGAGGAAATTATGCTTACTTTTAGTTTTATTTGTTAGTTTGGTTTAAAAAAAACAAATATTACAACTTTCCTGATGAGGCTTTGATGGACGTGTTTATTGAGACTCTGAGTGAGTCAGCTGCTTTCAAAAGGTTGAGTTTTTATTTTAATATCTGGACTGTTTTTCCTGAATGGCTCTCAAATGTACGGCTCCATACATTAATAATAAAAATGAATAAAACTAACACTGAAACTAAAGATTTTCCCACAAGAAAAACTCAAATGAAAGAAGAAAATTCGCTGTGGAAACTAAGTGAGACTACACTAACTTAAAAACAAATAGTGAAAGGGAGATATAAAATGTTTATGAGTGAAGATGGTTGTCTGTCTCTCTGTGATGGACATCATGGTGGTGTCCATGGTGTACCTCACCTCTCGCCCTACGACTGCTGTGAAAAACAGCCCCCATTCTTCACCACGACCAATATGCCGTGGTGAAGAATGGGAAGGATTTTTTTTTTAAATTGATAAGATAAAATGAAAATCGCAGAAAGTGAACAAACACATGAAGGTTCATACATAAGGTATCGTAATGCACTTAAAGCTTTTTGCACTCTTTATGAGAAGATTGAAGGAACTGTTTTATGAATGTGTTTCTCTCCCTTTTGTTACAGCAACCTGTCTGTGCAGCTTTGTCAGTACAGCAAAGTCTAAAAACATGATAAAGAAAGCCACACCTCCTAAACTTCTCTGCAGTAAGCTACTTATCTTTGGAGTTATAAGCCCATCACCTGAGATTCAGTCTGCTGTAACAATCCCAGTGGCTCAGGCTCTTAAAGCTCAGTTATGTGCATAGACCCTGACTCAAAGGGGATTAGACACTGACAGTAACTATCGGGTGAAAGCGTTTCTTGAAATTTTGCCATATTGTTTATTTGTTGCAGCCAGAAAACACTAATAATTTCATTTCATTTCATTTATTTATTTATTTCACACTTGGTACAACAGATCAAACAAACCAACCACACTTTCTATCAATAAAGCACTACAACCATGTGTGAAAAGGAGCAGGAAGAAGAAAATATTGTTATTAAACCCTGCCCCCTATCTACAATCCAACTTATATTACAAGTGGGCACCAAAAATTAGGGAACAAACTAATATTAACATTTCTCTCCGGTCCTAACCCAAACCAAACAACAAATTTACAATCAGAATATACCACTCCACATAGTAACAAGGAGAAAAATAAAATTAAATAAATAAAACAAAAAATTATAAAGGATCCTTTTTCAATGAACTCCAATTTCATTCGCATTCTTCATATTGAGTTATCGTTTTAAGCATATAACACTTTTTAAAACAATGTAAACTTATACAATTCTTTAAATTATAATGAAGAGAGTTCCACAGTCGTATACCCCTAACCGTTGTACTCATTAATCTTTGTGTTTTATAAATAATTTATTTGTATGTTCTCTATATTTAACATTATGACTCATTCGTATCACTTTCTTCTGTAATAAGTTTAGAGGTTTTATAGTATTCTCATATGTATTCCCCCAAACTTCAACACAGTAACTAAAATATGAGAAAAACAATGAAAAATATATAATGCGCATTGTTTTATAATCTAATAAATCTCTTACATTTCCCAAAATATAAATGCTTTTAACCATCTTCTTTCTAATATACTCAATATGAGATTTCCACGTCAAATTTTCATCTACTATTACAACCAAAAAACGAAATTCAGTAACTCTTTCAATCAATTCTCCATCAATGGACATAATGACTTCGTCCTCCTTTACACGATTGCCAAATATCATGAATTTCGTTTTTGTCAGATTCAAAGATAATTTATTTACATCAAACCATTTTTTTAATCTTAACATCTCAGAAGTCATAATTTCAACCAAATCTTTCAAATTCTCTCCAGAGCAATAAAAATTTGTGTCATCTGCAAATAAAATAGAATTTAACCTTTTTGATACGTCACAGATATCATTAATATATAAATTAAAAAGTTTAGGTCCCAAAATAGAACCTTGAGGAACGCCACATACAATCTTCAATCTTTCAGAAGTATTGCTGAGATAATGTACATATTGCAACCTATTTTCTAAATAACTCCTTAACCAATTCAATGCCACTCCTCTCACACCATAGTTATACAATTTAGAAATCAAAATAGAATGGTGTAACGTATCAAAAGCTTTTTTTAAATTAACAAATACCCCCACTGTATATTTATTATTATGGGTTGCAGATGAAATATCGTCAATGAAAGTCAACAATGCTAATGCCGTTGATCTATTTTTACTAAATCCAAATTGATTTTCATTTATTAGTTGATATTTTTCAATAAAACTATCAAGTCTTTGCGCAAAGAGTTTTTCAAGCACTTTTGAAAACTGTGACAAAAGAGACACTGGCCTATAATTGTTAAAACTATGCTTATCTCCTGATTTATATAAGGGTATCACTTTTGCCACTTTCATTCGATCAGGAAATACTCCTGATTGTAGCGAAAGATTAAAAATATAGCAAAGAGGAATACTTATACAATCTAAAGTCTTTTTAATTATAACCATGTCTATACCATCAGAGTCAGTAGATTTTTTATTTTTAAAATTTTCTACAATTGCTACTATTTCTTTTATGGTAATATAATATAGCAGATATCGCTGGATTTTGTGTTATAAACAATCTTCTGCCATAAAAAAATATTTCAAACTGCAGGAAATCAAGTAGAAAATGAAATTTATAACCTGAGGTTTGTTACTGTTTCGTTATATATTACAGAGCAGTGTTGTGTGTACTGTAAATTGCACTTGTGGTAATAAACTGTCAGCCATGAGATGTAGCT